ATTTTTTTGCACTTTTAGGCAAAACCATTAATATTAATTATATTAGCCATTAATATTTAACACATTAATACTACTGTAAAGTTGTAAATCAGTTTGTACAAGGCTAGATCAAGCGTTAAAAATGTCTTCAAAATTCTTGGATAAATAAAGATGTTTTTTTCTCTATAATTCTGATGCATTTTCAAGGAGCTTTCTATCTTTCTTTGTGATGGTTGCTCTCAGTGGAAATTTTGATATAATGATGTTTTGATTTTGCCAGACACCTGGCAATTTCTGGATGGCAGTTTTTTCAAGTTTAGAATTTTAAAATACATATGAGAATATTTTCAGCATCATATGGAACTGAGTCTCCAGAGACAAACTGTAATGTTTGTGTTTGTGTGCATTCTCATGCACGTGCATAAATATGTGTGTTCAAGTTATACTGGAAATTCAACAGATTAAACAAAACTGTCATAAACTTGAATCCTAAGAACTAGGAATGAAAGAAGGAACTATAATAGAAGTGTTCAGTAAAAAACATAATGCAATATATGTTCTTCAACAATAAAAGAAAAAGATGGATAAAGTAACTAAATTACAGCATTTAAGTTTTAGAGAAAAACCTTAGGCAACTCTTAATAAAAAAAACTATCTATGATCAGACCATTTTTTTTTGTGAAATGCAGTCCTTTTATGTGTAGAAAATGTTCTCTACTTGCAGAGTAACTTGTAACCCAAGTCAAAAGGATTTATTTGTTTTCTCTTGTTTCTACGGGGTAATATCCAATACATGGATCAGAATACTCTGAACAACTCATTGTGAGAGTAGATTGTACCCTGTTGAAACCCCTACATTAAATTTTGTGGCTAGCATACTTCACTCTAAAAAAAGATGAGACAGAGGGAGCCTTGCAACTTTTTTTTACAATAAATTCAAAACAGAAATGTTTTAAGAGAGAAAGAGATACAAGCATACATTCAACAATGCACTGGCCAAAAAAACAGATATAACAAATGGAAAAGGTAAGGAATATAAATTTTGGTTGACTGATAGACTCTCAATAGAATATAGTTGTTCTGGCCCTGCATGGATAATCTGAAGATCACATGGCAAGTGAACAAAAGATTCTCTGAGATCTTGCATCTGCTGGACTCCCATGAAACTGGACAGAAATGAACCCATCCTAAGAAATCCTTTCTGGACTTCAACATGTTCCTTCAACATGGTGATGGTTTGATGTGGGATCTGCATATTTACCATGGCTGCTAATTGGTAGATCCCTCTCCACAATGAAATGGTCAGCACAGGTGAACCATTACACTGAGCTGGCACAAGCCAGAAAACAATATTTTTGGTACACAATAAGTAAAAAAGGGGTTGAGGTTACCTTTTGTGGAAGGGCTGTTGTGAGTAGAGGATTTGTGCCAGTGCCAAAATCTAGGTCACTACTAGATATCAAAGGGAGTTTTCTCTATTTCTTTCTTCCTTCTACTGGGAATCTAGATTTTGTCACCGTAGGTATAGCTACCTCCATCAAGGACTTATGCAGATTTATACTCAAAAGGCAATTAATTGTACTGAACCAGTTTTAATTTTGCCTTAGATTTTATTAGGTAAATGGTATATCACAATGTTTCTGATACTGAAATAGAGATAACAGACAGGAAAATCATTCAGTAGTCCATCATGTTTATTAATATAGCATGCTTTTCCTGACCAATGGAAATTCACACTATTATGCTTAACTCATCTTGAGAGATTATTTTCTGTGGGCTACCCACTTAGTTAAATGTAGGACAATGGTTTCAGAAAATAGCGTTTGAGGGTTTTTTGGCAAGTGGCACTGTAAGTACCTAAGTTTTGATCTTTAGGGAGTCTCCCCATTAGCATTTTGAGCAAGCTTTTGTTCCCACGGCATCAATTAAGCTGGTTTATTTCCAGTCTGCTATAACATAGTTGAAACAGCTTCAAAGCTGTTTTTTGTTTGATTTTTCTTGGCAGGTGATGGGATGCAATATGACTCACTTCCCGTTTGCCGAAGGAAACTTTTGTTTCACACCTTTTTGGGGATTCCAGGCCTTACATCCTGGAAGATAAATTCTGATTTTATAGTTTTGCAGCTCCCCCTCACCCTTTCCCAAGTGAAACAATTAGTGTGACGTTAGCTTTGTGTAGAGTGCTAAACTTCTGAGGTTTCATTCTTTGTCTGACCGACTCATTCCTTTGGGTGGAAGAGATTTTTCTCAACAGGTCAAGTCAGCAGTAATGGGGACCATCACAATATACCCTATAATGGTGCTGAGGGTTTGGGAAATAAAAATAATATTATAAAAGTTTCATCACACATTTCATTGCTTTGATGTAATTACAGAATGTGGCAGACATCTATATAAACTAGTCTAAAGATTTATCTGGTGGGACAATAAGATAGAATAGTAGTACATTCATTAGTGGCAAAGTTTGGAATATAGGTAGAACCTGACACGATGAAGCCCAGGTTCATTTTAGTTGAGTATGTTTGTTTCTTGTAGATGCTTCTTCTTTGCAAGTAGGAAGTTGAGAAAGAAACTTCTCCCATTGTGGGTCCTCTATAGCTGGCTACTTGAAGGCATGCTGCTCCCAGTACAGTTGTATTACTGAGCCTTCTGAATAATACTCTTGATAAGTGTTTTTCAAACTTGGCAGATATATATATATCCCCAATATGAAAGTGTCCCAACCTGCTGTGTTTCTAAACACAACACAAAAATAGAAAGAAAGAAAGAAAGAAAGAGAAAGAAAGAAAGAAAGAAAGAAAGAAAGAGAAAGAAAGAAAGAAAGAAGAAAGAAAGAAAGAAATGCTAATTTTGGATGGGCTTCCCAAGACATTCATTTTGGCAAACAGCAGTCATGTTTCCCCAAATCGTGTCAGCTATTTGCTTGCTTGCTTATAATAATTCCCGTAGAATAATTTTTTCCCCAGCCACCTGTTGTCTGACTCCTGACACAGGGAAGCTCTGCAGGATATCTCTGACTCTTTGATTGTCATTATCTGATTTGCACTAAACTGAATTTTTGTTAAAAAAGCATATTGATGGATTCGTTCTTTTTATAGCTCTTTATTATTCTTTTCTATCTTATTCCAGAAGGTATTTTATAAACAAATACCATAACGGATGGGTAGGTTATCTAGTTGAGTTGGCTTCTGTATGCTTATCTCAGGGACTTTATATACTTCTAGACATACACGAATCAGATAATTAGCCAAATGATATTATTTCCACAAGAATTTACTTACTGCATCTAATAAGAATATTAAAAATAAGAATAAACAGCAATAATTTAATTTATTCCATGGGAGAACCTAAGATTTTCTAAGGCTTGGGTATGTTCCTAAAAACATCCCTGAGTTTCATTAGATTATAAATTCACTGTAACAGAAGGACAAAATTTAAACGTGCAGGAGCATTGCTATTAAAAGCTTGCTTCTTTATTTAATATTTCTAGGTCAACCTTCTCCCAACAGATTCTGGGCAGCAAATAATAAAACAGCAATGATTCAATTAAAACAAGCAACCAATGAAATAAAATTCCTTTTCAAAAACAAAAACATCATGCTGATCCTAGTGACCTTGAGCCAAAGGCATGATTAAATTTAGCAAATGTAACATGTTTGCAAAAAGCCAGTAGTGTTGAAACTGCACATACTTATGGGAATTCCATAAACTGGAGGCTACTGCTGGAGAAGGCCTTATACTTTGACTATACTCCACTTATTACAGAAAATGAGGTGGAGGAACTCTTAATAAATTCTCTTGTGAAGTATAAACCCTTCCAGTATCTCCAGCTTGACTCATAGTAGTGACGTACAATTGGATGATATCAAGGTATCATTTACACCTCATCCTAAATCAAAGGGATGGCCTCCCTTCTTGAAGATATTAAATAATACAGGGGAGCCCTAAGAAAAAACACATTGGAGCAATCAGGGTATTGAGTGTTTTTCCTCTAGCACCACTGATTGGTATCATTCAGATAGGAGAATAGTGCCTCCCATTCCTCTCAGATAAACTTTAATTCGTTTTTTTCTTTATTTATGCTCTTTATTATTTTGTTTTCTGTTCAATAGATCTGATTGTTGGAGGCCGCCTGGACAAGTCCCTGCAGTTTTCTGGGCAAGATTTTTCAGAAATGGGCTTCCTAGGGCTGGAGAGACAGTGACTGGCCCAAAGTTATCCACCTGGCTTCAGGCCGAAAGAGGAACTAGAACTCATGGTCTCCCAATTTCTAGCCTGATACCTTAACCAGTACACTAAACTGGCTTTTATTTTACTATGCTAGAAGTAGCCTATACATGATTTAAAGAAGAACTGTAGTAAAGCCACACATTGAATCAGTTAGCTCCTGGAGTAGCAACAGAAAACAGAAACTAGACAATTGTCTGTCCTTAGAGTATGAATGGAATTGTGTGAAAGGAAGAAATATCCAGGTACAATAAATGCTATTATTTATAGATCATGTTGAAATGCAAGTACTGTTTCCACGATTACATGATATAAAACATTTTTTAAGTCCTGAATCTGGATGTGTGGATTTTTTGTACTAGTCTACCTTGTGGGACCAGAGATAAACTTTATAGTTTATCAACTATAAAACTGTTCATGATATATGACCTGGTTATTTGAGATCAGTCAGAGTATTTGGGTCCTATCACTTAAGCAATGTCATCTAAAGCAGAAGTCCCCAACCTTTTGGGCACCAAGGACTAGTTCCATGGAGAGAGGTTTTTTCATGGACTGGAGGATGCGTGGTTTTGTGTGCTGCCTGCATCTCGTGGATGGGGCTCTGTTTGTGCAGCCCAGTTGCTGGCATGCTGCGGCCCGCTACTGATCCACGGACTGGGGGTTGGGGACCCCTGATCTAGAGGGACCTAGGAGGTTATGTTCTCTGGCTTGATATCTGCCCTCAATACACAATTTGAATATCATTCTGAACATCTAATTTAATATATTTAAATGGCAACTCTTAAAATGTTACTATGGGTAATATTTGTAAAGAATATATCATATGCGTTATTAAGTAAAGAATGTATCCCAAATGTTCATTTTAGTGAGCTGCAAATTTTGCTTAAAGTCAATCATATTTTTTAAAATTTTATTTTCCCATCTTGTAAATAAAATCTTCATTCTTTCTCCTTAGAGGCACAGCCATTGCCATATTCCAAGTATGTTGTACCTGTTCTTCTCATGATTGGCTGGATTGCTGGTTGTGCATTAATGGTTTATTATGTCTTCTCTTAAAAAAAGGTAAGTTGTGGCAACATTACATCTACAACATTATGAACTGCACATTTCATTACTAGAATGTATTAACTAGTTTTTTTTGTTATACAGGAAAGAAGACTTTGCAAACAAACCTGAAGGCCAATGAAGATGGTCTGTTTCTTAGTTTAAAAATATCCCAGGCAAATACTACTTTGATAACCTTAACAATGACAACATAATACAATTTATACATTTTGTCTTCCAGATCTTAATAGAAAACAAATAAACAAATCAGTTTTGTATATATATGTAACTTTCAATGAAAATTGCATTAGACATTTGGTAATAGAACAATACTGGTCCATATCCTGGCACCATTTTATACTGTGATATCTATAGAAAAAAGCATTGTTATTTGCCCTATGTTTAGAGGCAATGTAGAAATTCATATATTTTGTTGCTTATAGTTAGAAAACAGTTAATTGATTGCTTCATAGCTGTGTTTTCCCTACATTATATACTTCTATAATAATATTTTTAAATGTTTGGGGGACTCTTAATTTTGTTTCATAAGAAGCATATTTTTTTAAAAAAACAATGGTAATAGTCTGCCATGAAATGAAAGATAATATTTGAGGTTATATTTCATTGGTCTTGATTACTTTTAAGAATAATCATCACAAAAGTTTAGCAGATTGGGCAAATCTTTATAGCTGTTTATTCTAATGGCTCTTCTACTTTATTTCTAGTACTTTGACTATAAAATCTTAAAAATTACCACACTTGTCTAAATCTAACAAACTTCCTTATGTTATGTTAAAGAATTGTAATCTACTATACATATTGTCCAATTAATAGGCTGTCGATAGTTTTAATAAATGTTGAGGCCACTGGTGGCTCTTTTCCAATTCAATTTAGGGTAACCGCTCTTCCTTTTCCAAAATCTATGTTGCAGATCTGTGAGGTTATTTACTCTAAGAATGCAATATATACAGAGACATGTATATAGTGAGAATTAAATAGTAAATATCCTTAAGTTTTGTCCCTTTTGTAATTTGTTGCATGAAACCTGAGCACAATGACTAATGTTATATGCTGTTGCAGTTTAATATAATTGCAAGTCTGCCATTTGATGGGGCTATGTTTCTGACTTTACTTTTAGTAACAGTACACTTCGTTCATAGCCAGTAGGTGGCACAGCCTCTACACATACATTGGCTGTTTTTACAGCAACAATTATGCAATCTCATGAAATGTCACATTTCTGTATATTTACATTTAGGGAGAACATGATTAAAATCATGGAAGACGAAACAGAAATGAGAATAGCAACACAACAACCTACGATCACAAAAGTGTGTTCTCTATAGTCAATAGACATCTCCCTACACTATTTGAAACCAAGTCACTCGCTCTTAACCAACCTACTTCAGGGCTGTTAAATTTAGGGACTGCAGGGAATATAATAGAATCATAACATTGATGGGAAGATATTCTTCTATAAATATTGGCACACTTTGGAATATTCCATTCTAAAAAATATATAGAGTTGTTATTTGGGGGCACCACATTTTATTTAGAACAGTTAGGAAGGGAGAAGTTTGTTCATGGTTTCTGTTTTCTTAGTCATTCACAGAAGCACGTTGTCTGATCATCTGTCCACATTTTGGTTCCTGGAAATGCCTGTGCTCAGACAAGAGGGAGGGTAGGGGGTCTGCTAACCGAGGCCACAGTTAGGAGAGATCTCTACTTCCTCAGCTGTTCATCATCCCTTGTTTCCTGCCTACAGAATTTAAGTGCTACTGTTGAAGTCACGTGTTTAGGTGTTTGAATGATGGATTCTTGACTTCTGCATTTCATTCTTCACTGGCTTTCAGAACTTCCAAGAAGACAGAGGATTGGTGATCTTTGTTAGTGTGTGGTGGTTGCTAGTAGCCAGTGGGGGTTGATGATGACATTTCAGGTTTCAACATCTGATGGCTGCCAATAGTAATTTCAGCAAAACATGGTCCTTCTATTATTCTGCCCACTAACCTGATTGTGTAGCAATTTCTTCACAATCAGTCCTTGTTAGCTTCTCAGATATCCTAGCCATGACAAGAAAAGAAACTGACAATGGTTATTTGCCTGATCTCAAAGTGTGGTATCATTTCTGATCCTGTATATTTTAGGATTAGCTTTCAGCCTTTGCTTGCTGTTTTTATTCTTTTTTTTCCCCAAGGCTTCTTTGGCTGCTTCATTCCTAGCTCCCAAGGAATTGAAATTTATTGCAACACAATTGTGCAGCAACCTAATTTAAGTAATGATAGGATTGCAGTGGGTAATTTTTAACAGAAACTAAGCTCACTGTATTTCAACCTCCAGATAGTTATTCATGTAATTTATTATATACATGTAACTAGTTATTATATTTTATTTATGTTATTATAGTTTTTTGTTATGTATTATTATAGTTATTTATGACATAAAAGTTTTACTATGTTATTATAGTTATTTATGTTATTTATGGTATAGTTATTTATGTTATTATACACATTTAACTATAAATACATCTAATGACTGCCAGCAGGTCATATATAGGAGAATTATGCAGGAATATGCCTGTAAACCAGGGGCAGGAAACATTTGTGTCTCCAGTGTTCTTCAGTTACAATGACAAGATTCCCTTGTGTAGTCCATATTTATGAGAGGAAAAAAGATTATGGATGTGTACTTCTTTCACTGTATGGTGATCCTTTTTACCACCTCCCTGTCTTCCCTCGCTTTAATTAAATGTTGTATGTGACAGAAAAACAAATATGTCCTGTTATTTCAGAACAAACAAGTCAGTTCAAAAGCACGACAAGAATTTCTTAAGTTTTAAAAGACTTTTTTTTTTGCAAAGATAAAAGGCTTTGGCTATTTGAAGAACAGTATTCCAGACCGATGAGCATATTTTAAACAAGCTCCTCACCCATTTTCTTTAGAACTTTTTCTATTATGCAGAGCTGTTTTTGCACCACCGAACTGCTGACGTAAATTATTGCATGAACTTTTTATAAAACAAATTTCTCTGGTTTTTCTTGTTCCTTCTTACATAATTCCTTCTTACATAAATTTCCCCAGGAGAATCCTGTGTTTTTGCGTAACCATATCTTTTCGCAATCATTCTTTTTTTCAGAAGAATCTCTCTCAAAACATGTTTTTAATTCATATTTCTGACCAGAGAAATATGAGGGCTGCCATATTCTGTTCAGTGCTGTTCTCTATGCTGGACCACTCCATTCACAGAATATTTCCTTTTTTTTTTTTAATATCACTATGAACTATTTTCCCATGTTATTTTAAATTTATTCTTGCATTTATAAAAGCACAGATCATGAAGAAAAAATATAAAAATATACTCTTTAACCTACCTGAATATTTTTATTTATTTATTGTTATTTATTTAATTAATTAACTTGTACAGCTGCCCATCTCAAATATTTAACACTTGAAATGCTTGAAAGCAATGATTAAAACAAATGTATTATAACTTGATCAACAAATCAATGTCAATAAATAACTTATATGGCAGCCAAGATTAAAAAAACAACAAAGACAACAGTTAACATTACCATGATATGGGCTCATCATACACTTTGGCCCAAAGCAAAGTAACAAAACCAGGTATTATAAAAAGACAGTTGTCTAATTTCTGGAAATAATGTTCCAGAGAACAAGTGCCATGACAGAAAAAGCTGTTTTCTCGGGCCCTGGATACTGTCTAAATCAATCAATCAATCCTCTTCATGAGGAAATGATCAACCATCCTAGATGTAACCTACCACTAGGCATTTATTTGCAAGACAGAGACATATGCATACTCCAATATTGTGGAGTAATATATTTTTCTCCCTCCCTCCCTCCCTCTCTCTCTCTCTCTCTCTCCCTCCCTCCCCCTCCCTCCCTCCCTCCCTCCCTCCCTCCTTCTCTCTCTCTCTCTCAACATGAGGCTGAACTCATTAGCCTAAACATAGAGAGATCAGAATCTTAAATCATTCCTAAGGAGAAATTTGTTAATCAGTGGAATGACTTGTCTTCAGAAGTTGTGGGTGCTCAACAAATTGGAGGTTTTTAAGAAGATATTGAATAACCATTTGTCTGAAATGGTATAGGCTTTTGGGTTTGGCTAATCTAAAGAAAAGAAGAAATAGGGATGACATGATAGCAGTATTCTAGTATCTGAGAGGCTGCCACAAAGAAGAGGGGGGTCAAATGATTCTCCAAAGCACCAGAGGGTAGGACAAGAAACAATGGTTGGAAACTGATCAAAGAGAGAAGCAACCTGGAATTAAGGAGAAAGTTCCTAACAGTGAGGACAATTAACCAGTGGAACTGCTTGTCCTCGGAAATCGTGGGTGCTCCATCACTGGAGGTTTTTAAGAAGAGACTGGACAGTCACTTGTCTGAGTTGGTATAGGTTCTTCTGCTTGAGTGAGGGGCACTGGACTAGAAGACCTCCAAAGTCCCTTCCAGCTCTATTCTATTCTATTCTGTTCTGTTCTGTTCTGTTCTGTTCTGTTCTGCCTGAGAAGGGGATTGGACTAGAAGACTATCAAGGTCCTTTTCAACTTTGTCTCTCTATTATTCTGCTCCAATGTTATACAAAATAAGAATAACTGAATGTTTACTGTCCTTAAACAGCATACCTAAGAGCTAAAAGTGCAACTGGGTCAAACTGTCTTTAGCAGACAAGCCCATTTCTTTAGGCTATACTATATAACAGTCCCTAAACTCTAAAGAACACTAGCATTAGTACAATCTATTGTCAGCAGTTCTTGAAGGCATTTGCAAAACAAAACAAAACAAATCCCATATGAGCCAAAATTGTGTCCTTGTGGAAAAGGGTCTATTGAATCAATTGTCCATGTCTTGCTGTACTGCGTTTTTGTAAAAAAAAAAAAAAAAAAATCACTCTTGACTTAACAAACTGGTGAGACAATTCTTATTTAGTCTGTGTACAACTGTGAACACCAATATGATTTAGATTCAGTTTGTATGAATATGCCTAACTT